GATGCATTGCCGGTTCGTCAAAAACCATACCGGTATGATAAGAATAAGGAAAAAATTATAGAATGGCATATTACCGATATGCTACGTAAAAAGATCGTAACGCCTATCTCAAGTAGTTATGCTAGTCCGGTGGTTTTATGTAAGAAAAATAATGATTATCCTTTGGAGCATCCAAAAAGGTGGAGATTCGCTATTGATTACCGTAAATTAAATTCCATAACGAAATATCCGGTATATCCGTTACCGATTATAGAAGAAATTTTAAGGAACATAAAATCAACCAAATTTATGACAACTTTAGACTTAACGAATGGTTATTTTCAAATAGGGGTCAGGCCTGAGGACGTGCCTAAGACTGCTTTTATAACCAAGTCTGGCACTTATGCATTTTTGCGAATGCCGTTTGGCCTTTCAGGCGCCCCAGCAACATTTCAGCGATGCATGGACATTGTGTTAAGACCTGTTCTCGGAAAGTCCACATTTATCTATTTAGACGATATCATTATTACTAGTGATAATCTAGACCAACATGTACAGGATTTAAGACAGGTGTTTTCTTTATTAAATGAGGCCGGTCTAAAAGTTAATGTCGAAAAGTGCAAATTTGCAGCCCCTGAATTAAAATATTTAGGTTACAAAATATCGCAAAAAGGGATCGAGACAGATGAATCAAAAATAATCGCTGTACAAAAGTATCCGACTCCAAACACGGCAAAGAAGCTCTCTTCTTTTCTAGGACTTTGTTCATATTATAGGTCCTTTATAAAAGATTTTGCGGCTATCGCTGAGCCATTGTTAAAATTAAAAAGGAAAAAGGCAAGATTCTCGTGGACGGCCGAAGCCAATAGTGCTTTCGAAAAATTAAAACAAGCATTAACGCAAGCCCCTGTGTTGAAATTTCCTGAAAAGGATGAAAATTTAGAAATTTCAGCGGATGCTTCGGATTATGCGGTAGGAGCGGTACTTTCGCAAAATCAGCAGCCAGTGGCATTTTTTAGCCGAACTTTAAATCAAACACAAAGAAACTATTCCGCGACCGAGAGAGAGGCACTTGCAGTTCTGTTAGCAGTGCAAAAGTTCCGAGTCTATTTTGGAAAGGCGCCGATAACAGTATATTCTGATCATGCGGCGGTAACTAGATTGTACTCTGGGAAAAATTTATATCCCCAAGGTTAATAAGATGGGCACTCAAGCTGCAAGAATATAATCTGGTAATCAAGCATACCCCCGGAAAGGAAAATATCGTAGCAGATGCCCTGTCACGAATTAAATTAGACGAACAGGGTAATACCGTAAAAGTTGCAATGCTGACAGCGTGTACAATAAATTCCCGAGAAACTGTAATAACCGAACTGGGTAAGGATCCTGAGTTTGGAAGTATTTATGAGTATTTGAAGGATCCTGAAAATTTTAGCCACCAAGATATTGTGGCGATAAGAAATAGGGCGGCCCATTACGAACTAATAGATGGTCTATTATTTTATACAAAAACTACGAATTCCAACAACGAATTTCGACCTGTTATCCCAGCTAGTCTTAGATTAAATATCCTGCAAGAGCTCCATGACAGCCCTTTAGCTTCTCATGCTGGTATTCGAAAAACTATCCAACGCGTACGCGAGGCAGTCTACTTTCCTGAACTGCAAAAGTTAACAAGGGCGTATGTCCAGTCCTGCCCAACATGTCAAGCCGTTAATTATATTAATTTCCGCCCGGCCGGGTTTCTAAATAGTATTAAATCCGAATTTCCAAATGAAATAATCGGCATCGATTTATTGGGCCCTTTCCCAAAAAGTCAGTTAAACAAAAGTCGCTATCTCCTTGTTATAGTTGATCATTTTAGTAAATGGACCGAAATTGTTCCCTTAAAACGAGCCTCCGCGAAATTAGTTACCGATTCTATTTTAAATAAATATATTTTAAAATACGGGGCGCCCCTAAAAGTTATATCGGATAATGGTCCTCAATTTGTAAGTAATATATTTGAAGACATGTGCCAAAAACTGGGCATACGTCATTTAAAAATGGTCCCGTATCGGCCGCAATCAAATATAGCGGAACGGGTCAACAGAAATATAGTGAAAATTATCCGTAGTTATGTTAAAAATTTTCATAAAAGCTGGGATAACTATGTCAATGAATTTGCTTTCGCCCTTAGGACCGCAAAACATGATACAACGGGCAAAAACTCCTGCTGAGTTATTTCTAGGCAGAAAGATTATAACACCGTTAGATAAACTATTTTATGTGCAACAAAGAGCCCCAGAATTTAAAATGGGTGATATAGAAAAACTAATAAAAGAAGCAAAAAAGAATACGGAAGTAGCACAAAGAAAACAAAAATTGTATTATGACTTGAAACGACGGGGAGTAACTTATAAAGTAGGGGATGAAGTACTAAAAATTAAGCATTCACTTTCTTCAGCACCAGAAGATAAAACTGCCAAATTTTTTCCACGCTTTGAAGGACCATATGTTATAGAAAAAATAACTCACGCTGTTGTAGTGTTAAAGGCAAGAAATGGTGAAACCTGTTCCGCAAACATTGACCAGATAAAAACCATTCTATGACCGTAATAAAATGCAAATCTTTTCAGATCTTTTGCAGGATCCGGTACGGCAGACACCGCAGGTACAAGTTCCAGAGGTGGGAAAAAACGACAAGTACAAGGGCAAGCCAATGAGAGACAGAAGCAAGTGAAAAGAAAATTGCCCCGCGGAAAAATTGAAGGTACAAAGAAAAAGAAGCCGTTCCACCGTCCAAAAAACAGAGTTCACGAACACCCCCAGAATGAAGAAGGGAGAAGGACGACGTATGTGGAAAAGACCAGGGAGAAAGGACGGCAACTATAACCCGGCTGTGAAAACGGAAGATTGACTCATCCGACAGAACTCTCCGCAGCAAAAGTCGCCGAACTGCGGAAGGGCCATCAGCGGCGGAGGAAAAAGTACAAGAAAAATTTGAACGGCCAACAACGAGGTCCAAGCAGGATCACGACAGAAGTTTCCCGGTTCCACCAAGACCAGCTGCCTTCAAACGGCCAAGACCACAAGCAGAGGACAAAAGGAAGATGTTCAAGGGTGGCCGTAGTGGTGAAAAAAGGAAGCTTCCAGAGGAAAGCACTGAAGGGCGAGCCCGTACAAGAAGGAGGATCAACCAAGCTACGGTATCTGCAGCACCTTTAAAGACTGGGCCCAGAAAAGGATGTCTGAATATTACAAAGATAAGTAAAATTTTATGTTACTTTACAAACTTAAGTTAATCTTTCATTCTTACTGCAAGTGGCAGATTTCAAGAAGTTTTACCTCATGCGAGGTCTACCTTTATCGCCAAAAGGGCGAGAAATGAGTTGTGACCGATTTTCTTATTATGTTTTTCAATTACTCGCGCGTAAAAACTAAAGTTGATGTATAATAGCGTTGTGTAAAGAAGACTTAAATATTGTAAAAAGTTATTGTATAAATTTTATTTAAAACATTCTAACAAGAAAGAAGTTTTAGTCTGAAAGACTTTTTGAAATGTAGTATTATTTCAATGTAGAAAGAATTGGCACTTGCTTTGAAAAGAATAGAAGTTAACAATGTACTACTAATGTATGTTTTCAAATGTGTAAAATTAACGGCATCTTGATATGTTCTTGTATACATGTGAACTGTTATTTTGAAATGTTTAAGAAATACCGTGATATGGTAAAAGTGAAAGTAATGTTAAAAATTTTTTTATTCGTGTGACTGTAAAAGATTAAATCATGGTGAATATGTGTTAAAGGTTGAATGATGTAGTTAGGCTCTCTGACACTTTAGAGTTAGCCACTTTCAGAATAGTACCTCAGGGTCTAGAGTTGAAATTAGGGTGTGTTAAGAGGTCTCGTATGTTGAATTTTAACACGTTAGTGTTTTGATTGTAGGAGGAAGTGTGGAACACGTAGACAGAAACACATTCGTGTTTGGTGTTCTTTTACAACACATGTCAGAGAGCACGGGGAGAGATAATTAAAATAGTCATGAATGAAATAAGAATGTTAAGAAAAGTATATTCTATATGTTATTTGCAATGTCATTCTGTAACATTTCATTAAACTAGTTTTCCTTCCAGATCTCTGGAAGGAACCAGAATTGAATAAAGCTCCTGTTTTGATGCAGTACAGATGAAAAAGAAAAAGATTGTTGTATATTCCGGGAGCTGCTATTGTAAAAACAAATTTCTTTCTTTTAAATTTTCTAGTTTCTAGCGAAAAATATTTGTAAAAGGTTGGCCTCGCGTTAGTTTCTAGAGCTAAAAGTTTTCAACAAGGTCGTTTTAGACCTCAGTTTCAAACTAATTAACTCTGGCGGGAAGTATGTAAGGATCTTAAGTTTTACTAACGTTTATTTTATTTTAAATCTTTACTATCACTTCTTATTTTCTACTTCCGGCCAGAATTATAAGCGTGAAGGAGTTTATGCAAAGTTGTCTGGCGAACGCCAAGTATTTAAGTTGTGGCTTTTTGCCAAGCGAGAGAGAGGAAGCCGTGAGTTCGAAGCAGGCCGCTTACCTTAGAAGTTACGCAGTTGCTACTTTGCCTTCCAGGCCAGAGGTTTTAATCCTCTTGATAAATTTTAAACGTATTGTAGTGTTCACAGTCCTCTGTGCTACATACGCTTCCTGTTATTATAAGGCCAATCTTCCACGTTTATTATTCTAAAGTTAAATTAGAGTTTAGTTTTATTTTTATATCTTTTACGTTAGACCCCAAGTGGAGGGTCAGGTTGTATTCCGAAGTACGGAAGTCATTGTATATAAGAGAAAATAAAGGGTTTTGTATACCCTTCGTCTGTATCCTGTCTACTTACTACAATTAGTGAACATAGCTTTAGTAAGCTCTCTGTTCTAGTCAGGTCATTGTATGTTCCCGAAGAAGGTTAGAAGGAATATTGAACCTGATAATGCAAGATGATAATTTGATGTATATCAATCGAATAAGCCAAACGCAGTCCAATAATTAAAAAAAAGAGGCGAATTTTATAACATATTTTTTATTTTTTATATAATATAGAAATAGTGTTTAAAATACAAAGGAAAAAGGCACTTATGACATTTATTTACAAATGAAAAATTTCTTTGTTTTTACACGAAATCGTATTTACCTTTCTTTTAAGGTAAGCAACAGCTAACAAGAGCTAAGCGATGGAATGCAGATATTTCGCCGAAGAAATTTTCAAAAGAAAATACAATAATAAAACCATGGTCACAAAAATATGGAAATATTTTCAGACTGCTAAGTGAACTAATAAAAATACTGCAACTAGAATTAAAATACTAAAATACTGGAAAATAAATTACTTAAAAATATGAAATTCTTACATTAATTACATTCAAAGTTTTCTTATAATATTAACATTAAAACAAAAGATATTTTCTTAAGAATTATTTAAAATAAATTCACAGATTGAATCATATTCTTTTGTTCATTAACATCAATGTAAAATACTAAATAAATGAAAACCTGGAATACCCCCCCCCAACTGGTAACTTTTTTTAGCTGAAAATAAAATTTGATTTAAAAGTAAAGATTCCAGAAATAACCTTTTCTTTAATCTTATAAAGGAAGATGAAGTTCCCATTTTTGTTCTAAACTGCATGTAAGACCGCCTTTCAGTAACTTTCCGCTCAAATTTATTTAAGAAATTATCGAAGAGTTTAAAATAAAGATTTGAATTGAGAATAATTATATAAATTTCATACTTTTTGTAATACTTTAAAAAGATTTAAAATTCTTCTTCCTTAGCTTCTTAATGTATTTTCTAACAAGAAATACCCGTAAAAATGTTACACTGCATTTAGTTCCTTTTATACGAATTAAAATTTAGATAACGCCTGGACCTGCCTTACACTGACAAACCACTTTGCAAGCTAAAAGCAAGCTGGAAAAGATGGGCATAGCATAGTGTTCTTGTTGAAATGCAGAAATTTTAAGTAAATAATAATATATTACACAAATAAACCTAAAAAAATCAACACAAAAATAGAAATTTCTAAATAACAACTTTTGATTGAGCATAATATGCTTATAAAATTAATCAAGAGCTTATATATATTTTATATAATTTCTATACAATATCATTTAGACTAATAACAGCCACAGGAGTCATCAAATTACAACCAAGTCTAATGCTGCCACAAAAAGTAATACGAAAACGAAATTACTTTTCACATCTTCTCCATAATTAATATATTCTATAGAATGAATAAAATAAAATATATACATCAGTAGCAACCAAGCTACACAAAATTTTATCTAATTAAAATATAATGTATATAAACCTGCTCAATGAGAGAAAATGAATTGCCATAAAATTATTCTAAGCTGAAATAAATAGAAAAAAAATCAGACAATCAAACAATTGCAAATTAGATTAATAAGAATAATCAGGTTGGTGTTTAATTCCCTCACAAATAAAAATTTTGATTCCAAATAATATGCTGCAAATAAAAGCTTTAAGTGAATATAAAAAATATGCATATACTGCAAACAACAAATGCAGCTGAAATTTATGATCAACAAAAACATAAGCAACAAAATGTGATATGTTAAAATGAATACCATTTTAGACAGAGTGGAACTCATTTGTAACATTCATTCATGCAATTTGTATTTTGTAACAAATTTGTTACATAGAGTTATATAAGATTATAAATAACATTGCAGAACCATTTTTCATTTAATTATTGAAATACTGTAAAATCATTTTTTTATTTAATTACTGAAATACTGTAAAGCCATTTTTCATTTAATTACACGAATATAATTTCCTTAATTGTATATATCCATTAAAAAGTGCAAAAGCACTGAACTTGCATTTTGAAAACACAATAGTGGCACACACTTCAACAATATAATAACTATAATTTATAATATATAATGTAAATTCAATTATCCGCCCAGCAATTATCACAAACATTTTGATTAATATTTATCACCATAAACGTGTCGGTGATTTCTTATTTCTATAATACAGAAAAAACTTTATAATTAACATTTTATAAAAATGTTATAATGCATGCTATAAAAATATTATGTATAAATCAGTTAAAAACTTTCAACTTCGTTTAAAAATATTTTAGCATATAAACTCTTTAAAAAAATAAGCTATTTACACGACTGAACACTTGGATTTTAGATAAAACTTCTGCAATGATTGCAGACCGTATACTTATTTAAAAGGCATGTAAATAATCTACATCCTTTCTCTTAGACAGAATATATAAATCTCTTACATAAATGAGACTTTTTACAAGATAATTTTCACACAAACATATAAAACAAAAAGGAAATGATACACGTTTTATCGACATAACGGTGAAGTACTTCAGTTTCCTCCTTTCCATGAACAGGAAATATATGATTAAAGAAATTAATGTATGTGATGCAAAAATTAGTAGGTATTCAGATTAAGGCGCTCAAAGTAGATGTTAAGGGAGTACAATTACAAATTAAATATAAGTTGCAGATGAATAAATTTAGATATATTTGTTTCAAATTAATTTAGAAATATCTAATGACTAATTTTTAAACAGAAGAAAAACCTCTTACGTTAAAATGAATAGTGGACTTCTAACAAATTTATAAAATTTCTAAATTTTATAACTAACAATAATATTTTAATATTTATTAACATTTAAAGTACAGAAACTAAAACTTTATTTAGAAATGAATTTAAAATATAAGAAAATTGTGTATTAAGTTTTATGAACTACGCAAATTAATGAATTAAATTTAAATAATGAAATCATAATTTAGGAGTTTAAGAATGAACGAAAAATGAGATTTAAAAATGAACGAAAGTTTCATATGTTTTTTAAGCCAAAACTTTCGACCAAAAAGAAAACTAGCACACAAATAAATGATTTCCTTTCGTAATAATAATCTATTACTATTACCATACAAGTAAACTGAAAAATAAATTTAGACAGAAGCAACCATACATTTATCTTACACTAAAAAATATGAACAATACACCAACAGAACAAACATTCGTGATAAGGTTCACATGAAATAATAATAAAGTAAATATTTTCATGTTAACATAAAAGTCAGGACAATTTGAAGTAAATGTGGATGCACCATTTACAGTTTACAGGCAACGGGAGATCATTTTAGCGCAGGATTCAAACCACAGACTTCTGTTGCTGTGACAAGAGCACCGCTAAAAGCAAGAAGGTCGAGGTTCTAATCCGGCCGCTTCCGGTTTGCCCACCGTATAATGTCCGGGAAACACACTTTAAAAGTTTTCAACACATTTATATATATATATATATTTATTTATTTATGTTATGTATAAAAACATGAAATGAGCAACTTCTACAGTTCGGAGATGTGCACGCGTCTGTACAAGTCGGCTGTACGCAGGCATGACAGGGAAAAATTATGAGACTGTACACTTGAAGTCGCTTAATGGTAACCAGGCCCGTGCCTCCAACCTGTAGCATTGGGCCCGAACTTGTACACCAGTCTCCTTCCGAATACAGGCAGGAGTACCTGACTCTTGTAATAATATCTAATAAGAGGAAAACAATTTTTAAAAAATTAAAGATCAAGAAATACACTTAATGCAGGAATTTCATAAAAATAACAGTTAGAATAACATTAAACTTGAGTAAGGTTTGGTACTTTTAAAGACAAAAGTTAGAAATGAATAACATCTAAAGGTACTATGATAAATATTTTAAGATTTTACAAACAGAAAAGCGCATGCTTCTGATATAGGAATATATGCATAAAATATCTAACAGAATAACTCTCTATAAAATATTACGAAGTTTTTACAAAATTATATTGAAACATGAAGGATACTGCCACTCTAAATTTGTCATCTTTATTCTAAAAGACCATATGAAACCATCTACCGGCCTCTAGCGTTCCATAAAACATGAAATATTCATACACCTCTGGTGTTTTTGCAGCCATGGTTTGCATTTAATTGCATGAAGAGGAAACATGGTTGCATTTGAACAATTTCGAAAACAGCCAAGGAGGATTAGGACTTATTGACCTTATAGGTGTCTCATATAACTTGATATTTTCAATGATTCTTCAGTATTAAGAGTCAATAGTGTTATGATTAATGTTCGGAGTTCTTACGGAAATTTTTTTTAAGATTAAGGAAAAGTGATGAGATTACTAGTCAGGGGAAATTAACTTCGGAAGGTTAATGACGCTGGCCATAAGCTTCCCTAAAAAAGGGTTCGTAGACAAACTGTGTTTGTACTGGCGGAGCATGATGCAATTCTATCACATTGCAACGAACTGTGTCATTTGCTTTCTTTCAAGAATATGAAAAAGTGCATAAACATTCTCTGAGAATGTACAGTATTCATGGTGTACATAATGATAAACAACTCTGTGTTACACTCCGCCTCAGATACTACCATGCGAATGCAACAATATTTCATAAATATGGGAATTCCCGAACATCAGATCTTGCTATTTTAACTAATTTGCACAGTCGCTAAAATAGAATAAGATACTCTCCCCCAAAATTGAAAAATAATAGAGGATCTATTTCGGCAGTAATACACATATTCATTTCTGATAGTTTTATGCAGCGCACTTTGTTGTGCTTCAAATGAAGTACTATATTTGGTATTGGTATGAGAAACCCTATAATTTTTAATACATTTTACAATGCAATATTTCAGCAGAACTAACGTCGCTTCCAGAGTAATGCTTCTAATGTTTAACATAAATAAGAAAATTAAATTAACATTAACTACTGTTTAATAGCCTTTCATTTTCTACAAAAGTTTTGCTAGTGTGATAAAAATAAATATGGGAACAGATCTGGATTTGTCAGAAAATAAAAATTCAGATGTTGCGAGTGGTATGAATTTTGAAATCAGGATAGATAACGAACCTAATTTAAATGATCCTGAAGATTTGTTGATGATATTAGTGATGAAGGGCTTCTTGGTGATTTATTGAAAAATAAGCGTTAAGAAATTGATGGAGCAGAATATATTGTTATTGTTGACGGTATCCTTAAAACTGGCCCAGAGAGACTGGAAAAACTGAAAAATGTCATTCATAAAGTTTATTCAAATTTTGATAAAACTGTAAAAGTTTATTCCTCCTCGGATGAAAAATGGAGCGAGTTTATTTACTTTTAGTGCTTTTTTAAATCTCAAAAGAGGGAGATGCTAAGCATGCAATTTTAATCGTTAAAGTTCTAAATATTTCCACGGTACTACAACTTCCACTTCTTTCTGCGTTTTCCTTGTAAGCAGGTACTTGCTGCTGCGTATTCGCACATGTTAGTAAAGTATTACTAAATATATATCTGTTCTAAACTTTCTGCATCTGATTCGTCTACTTCATTCAACTATCCAAGTTTAAAAACATATTTAACAAATTATATGCAGCTCTTTTTAGGTCTTCCTGTGTATTAATGTTATGCAAAACTCTGTATGGCTTTTGACACAGTTTATCGTCATCTACATCAAACATATCATAGTTAAATCGTGTAATGAAAATTACTCCTTGTCAGTGGACTTTCTTTCAGAGTTTAGGAAATGAAATATCTTCCCTAACATGATAAGAAGAATGTTACTTATGAGGAAATAGTAAAGGATAAAGCATTACTGGGGAAAACAGTCATTTGTCTATTACAAGCGGATTTATAGTGCCATCTACTTATTTTTGATGATGGCCGCCTATTAGGTGCCTCCATAATAAAATGACCACCGCTTCTAACCTTAGTCGTGACCAAAGTCTAAAATGGCTAGTGCCGTTATTTAAAAAAAGCTTTGAAGTCACATGTTCGGCCATACTACATAAAAAATTATAAAATTAAATAATAAATCAGAATTCATTTTATATCAAGGAATCAAGTGTATATCAATCTGTGAAGACTAATTAATTATATATTTTTATGAATATAACGTCAACTATTTAATAGCGATACTGTCGCATTACGTAATAACGATATTATCGCATTAAATAATCGCAAAAAATAGTTTAATGTATAACATTTCTCTATCATAAACGCGGCTGGATATATCGCATTTTCCAATACTTGTAAATGCTACCTAAAATCACACATTACTAACAGAATGACTCGCTTGGCAACAAAAAAGTGATTTTTCAAGCAGTAAAATACATAGTGTGATGTTGAAATAATGAAGTTAGCCGAATAATGTATGTATTCACAATAAACCAATTTTACAATCCAAACTCATTAGTAGTACACTCACTTGAACAAACCTTTCTCGTGGTCTACGTATTTCCGCAAGTGTTTATTTTCCTTTTATGCTGAATTTCAGCGAAATAAACAAAGAATTAAAAATTATCGTACACATAGCGTGATAACAAAAGAAGTGCTAAATAAATCCCGCCGTTTCTTATTCTTATATACTAAGTAAATATATTATATTTTTCAATACAATGGTTTAACGCGTTATAATAAACTGACTACAGAAATGTTTTCTGAAATTTTTATTCTTAATTAATATTTATAATGGCGAAAGTTATATTAGATATTTAATTTAATATCAGTTCCAGGACATGAAAGTAGTTTAAAGAGGCCAAACGTTTCTAAAGGCAGAGAGAGACAAGATAATTTCGGCAACAAAAACAAAGCAAAATCTGTCTTTGCAACATAATTTTATTATTTCTAACAACTGTAGAAGCATTAGGTTATTTCGAAGCAGAAGACGTGAAACCTATGCAGTACCCTCACTAGGACTCGAACTCTGGACCTCTTTGAATAGGCGTCGAGTATGCTTTATTTACACCACGAAGGCATGCGGAGAAGAGGGAGAAAATATCTTACATACTTCCCCTTTTAAAGGGCGACTAAGGAATAGGGAACCCAATTTCCCAAATCCTAGTGGTGACGAATTATCGTCCACCATCTTTTAGTTCGCGCACCACTGTAGATTCATTAGGCGTCCTTTTCTTTATGCAGAAACCGTGAAAAATTAGCAGTGTCCTAGCCGAGCTTCGAACTTGGGACATCTCAAATACGCGCCGAAGTGTGCTTCCAATTACACCACGAAGGCATGCGGAAAGGAGGGAGAAAATACCTTATACAATTAATGATGTTAGTTCGGTTTATTTCAATAGATAACATGTTAAATCAAAACATTTAAACATACATTGGTTCCAAATGATTATTGCTTTTTATGAAAGGGGTCTCTTCAGAGAATATGGTTACCGGTGACTGTTCAACACAAATATATATTTATGCTCTTAAAAAATCTATTTTGAATGGTCACAAAAGAAACGTTTCACTATTTATTATAAAAATATATACAGTGTTACTGCAACTGTTCGCAGTCAGCGATGTTCAGCAACTAATGTAACGAGTCTGAAAGAAACATAATTGTTCTGATTATAGATAAATCCATATTCCATTTCATTCAATTTCAGTTCGGGCAAATGTTTGATTTTACGGAATTGTTCATATTCATATTTTTGCAATATTTTGTTCAATAACTTTCCATCAGATTCTTCGTCGAATACTTCCTTCACAAATTTATGCTTTTCTTTATATTTATATTCTGCATCTAAAAAAATCATTTAAAAATCTTCCGAACATTTTACTTCATTGTCTATCTTCCAGATACCAAACTCAGTTGGAACAGAAATTCAGACATTCTCTCATAAGCAAGTTTTTCTGTGGGTCTCGCGAGTTCCATAAAGCATATATTTAAAAGGCACGATTTTTTTTTATTACTGAATACATTTTTGAGGCGATTAAACACATCCATGACCTTACAAGAGTCGCAATAATCAAATTCATATCAACTACAGTTACAAAATCCGGGAATATTTACAGGATAAAGAAGCTGATCCTCTCCAACTGAACAAAGAATTTAAATTACACACGATGAATTCATTCTCTTTCAGTTTCAAATATTAAAAAATGTCGCGCTTATTTTAACACAGTGCTTGACCTTTCAACAATTAAAATGTCTTTAGCATGACAAATCTGTGCGAGTGTTGAGATGAAAACCGATGAATTTTTTAAATAATAATATGCTGCACTCTTCACTGTGCGTGCACGTGCATTAATGAATGCCTGAACTAGTTTACGGCGTTGAAGTATTTTCAGTGTGATTTTTATTTCATCACGGGTTTTTCATTCCGATTTAGTCAGCAGATGGCATACTTTCAAAAAAAAAAAATATGCTTTTATTTATAAAATTTCAAGTTTGTTTAAAAATTCAAACATTTTCACATGACTCGCATTATATTAGAAAAATGACAATATTTTCAAAAATAGCCGACAACAAAATCGAATAAAGACTCAAAAGAAGCTGAATTTCAGTTTTTAAAATATATATGATAATCTAATGAAAAAGATGAGTTCATATTTCTCATTAATATAAATTATAATTCAGCACGAACTATCCAGAACTGCAACTTGGATAAAGCTATATTATTTACTCTATCCCCTTTCCTCATTAAATATGGTTCGTAAATTGTTTCATTTATTTCCCCTCTTGCCAAAGATTTACAGAACTTTAAGACAAAAAGGCACTAAGCAAAATACTTAAAAAAACGCTCATAGAAAACATGTAAAAGATTGAATATTTAAGAATTTTTGAAGGAGTCACAATCTAACTTCTGAATTTTTTAGAAATTAAATCTCTCTCTCTCTGCTAAATTAAATTTTCTAGCAATTAAATCTCTCTCTCTGCTACAAGCAAGTCAGGGTAAATGGCATCGTCCTGCTGTTTATCATTCACATCGACTTCAACCACTTCGTAGATAATATGGTCAAAAATTCCGTTTTATCAGCGTTTACCTTGTAGAGACATTAGGTACTTTGGAAGCAGGAGAGATGAAAAATATGCAACCGCCTTCGCCGGAAATGGAACCACGGACCTCTGGAATACCGGCCCAGCGTGCTGAACCACTACACCACGAAAAGAAGGTGGGAGAAATACCTTAAAAACTCCCCTTTGGGTGTTTAGGGGACCCAATCGCTAAATTCTGGGTGTGAAGAATCCTCATCACACACCCTTTTAATTCGGGCGCCACTGTAGAGACAGGTAATTTGGAAACAGGAGTAATGAAAGATTAGAAATTGCCTTCGCCGGGAATCGAACCTCGGATCTCTGGAATACCAGCCCAGCGTGCAAAACCATACACCCCGAAGGCACGCTAGGAAGGCGGGGAATAATACCTTATAACCTTTATACCACATTTCTGAACGACTGGACGATTGTTTCTGGTCTAATTTTCGAATGGATGAGGACTTCACTTTCGGCTCGTCTGATATGTCTATTTCGGTTAGACGACAACTCATTTGATTCTGGCTACATAAATCAGCTTTCGGCTTCTTTAGCTGTTGCAACTTAGGGAAGCGACAGTGTTCATTTATCGAAAGTGCTTTTGCCAAAGTAAAATCGATGTCAATTAAAGTCGTCTTTCCCTCACTTATATATAGAAACTAATTTATAAGGCAGTTTTAAATTCGGCTTATATAGGAGCTTTAAATTTTGATGGAACTTTTGCAGCAAAATCTTACCTTCTGGTTTACACATAGATCGGCTTTCAATCAGAAATATACGGTAACTACTCTTCGCGCTGATAACTTTACGACAACATATGTTTCATTTAAACAGAAAAAAATTTAAAATAGCATATTATTATTTTTGATCATTTTAATCAGCTTAAACAACATTATCTTCTTATGAGGCTGCAGTGAAATGTCTCAAGATTACTTATTAGCATTAAAAAAATTAGTTTATGTTACCTATATGAGATTAATTTTATTACATATATTTCTTCTTTTTTCCCATAAATCCTAAGAATCTTTAAAAAATATTCTCTAATGTTTGATAAATCACCTATTTACCAAATAAAACAGGTTGTTTAAATTTCGCAACATCAAAAAAGAATCGTGAATGCAAAAATTTCAGATACCCTGATTAAAGAAACAAGTAATAAAAGTAGATTTGCTCACTGTAACATCCCCAAAACATCCTTTTATTCCCCCATAGAAAAGTGCAAGAACAGTGCAAGAAATGTTTCGGTTATAGTCAGTATTAAAGCGTTACATTAGTATCAGAAAATCTCAAGAAGTAAAGAAGAATATAAAAAAGTAGTTATATAACAGCAGCATGCAAGAGTACCAAAACCAACATGTGTAATTAGTAAGTAATAATATAATAAAATATTAGTTCCAAAGGAAAGACAAGCACCAATCACCAAAATATAGACTCCAGAGAGGCAGCACGTGATCATGCACGGTTTTGTGACCACCCGCTCGCTTTGGGTCCGAATTTGTAGACCAGCTTTTTGGGCAGGCCTTCTGTCTTTGGGACGGGAATCAAAATCTCGCTGCTGTAGTAAGTTCTGAAGAAAAGCCACCATAAACTATAAATTAGTATGAGACCTAAAAGTATTACTCAATAATACACTTTAGAATATACAGTGAAATTTGTTTTTTCACATAAATATTCGAAAGCCAGCTTCACAAAGAGAAGATATAGCTAACCAATTAAAACGTATATCTTGATAATATTGCCTTGAACTCCAAAAGGAATTTTATGAAATTTAACAGTAAATATGATCCTTATGCTTATGCTTATTCCTAATGCAGTTTTATCCTGTTGATATTTAATGGCAAAAAAATGTTTATATATAAGAAATAAACCACACATTAACTTCGTACAGAAATTCATACAGAAAAAAACACGGTGTTCAACTAAGCATTTTGCCCCCTAATATTGACTTACAGAGACCTCTAATTATTTAGTTCGAGATTTATTTCAAATATTCCACAGTTTCGATGTAGATGCTATCTCTTCTTCACAAAAAGGAAGTATTCTGTTCAGAATTCTCGTTGCCTGGAGAGAGCAAAAGAGATATCTGCATCATAGTTTCATAAAATTGTAACGAGAAATCTTTTGAAATAAAGACAAACCTGAATTTTGTTTATTTGTTAAACTTAAGTTGGATTTTTTGTCATATGTATTAGTTATAAATATTATCTATATAATATTAATACCGTAGAAGTGTACATATTATCGAACTTGATAATATCAGTATTACTCACTATGATGAAAACTTTCACTAATACAGATTTCTAGAATATCATTTATTCTTTATTAAATGGCACCAGACTAAAAACAAAAGTAATAATATGGTTGTTATTATGATGTCAAAGAGCTGACTAAACAGACTGAGATTAGAGCATTAACATGCTTACAAATGATGTTTCCTATTTTTAATTTATGTGAACTGATAATCACTATATTCGGAATCTTAAACTATGAATAATTAGACTTTTGAGCGTGAAACCTAACTGATAAAGTACTAAATATTTTTTTTTATTATCTATTTTACACGAAATTTGATGCATTTACTATGAAACTGGTACATTTTTGGACATTAAAAATAAAATAAAATAAAATATTTAATTTCAGTTCCATTAATTTAATATAATTTTGATTAAATGAATTTCAATTATTTTCAAGCAAAAAACTAAAAAACTGGTTTACAGATAATTTTTATAAAATTCCTTTTGAAGAGCTAGGCAATATACAAGGAAGAAGTAAAGTCTTAGATAAATTATCATTTTGTTACACATTTTATTTTAAACCAAGAAGATTCCGTAAGAGATTTCACTGTATATTTACATAAAAACATACATAAAAAAATGCTTTTATAAGTGCAATTTTTAAGCAGAAGTCAAAACCTAACACCATGCTTTACAGTGTGAATTTCTTTTTTTATCCTAGTATTATTTTCTTCAACAAACATATAACAGAAATGTCAAACATTCAAAACACTTACCTTGGATTCTAAAACAAAATGTACAAACTTACTGTGCACAGTACAGCTTCGCTTCATTTTTTTATCAAGATTCAAATCACAATCAACAATTTTGAAAAAATATGAATAATAATAAAACATAAAATTCTGACGGTTATTAACTTCTCTTACAGCAAGAATAAAAGTTGCTTAAAATTATTCTAGTTTTTAAATATTTTCATTAATACTAACATCATTTTTGAGACCATCTTGTTAAAAAAATTTATGAATGTACTAAATTTCCTTCTACTGAATTTCACAGAATTTAACTGCTTGAAGAAGAGGAGTTTGGTATTCCTACCTGGTTATCTGTTGGTTAATAAAGCGACAGGTATTATTTGATAGACTCAATGTTTTCATAGAATTTCATGAAATTTCAGAAATAGCTTATATTGTTAAATCAAAAACATTTATAAGGAAGTCATGTGTGCCAATTGAAAGACAGATCTTGAAATTTTATACATGAAGATTCAAAGTTCTTCCAGAAATTTCCTTTCCTCCTGTTCATTTGAAGCTTGCTGTCATCTATAATATGCCCGGAAGACAAAATGATCTGGTTTTCTACAGGAGTAACTTTCTTTAAGGAAAAAAAGCAGCAGTGCTGCCTTACATTTTAGCTTTTTTATCTTATTCTGTAGCCACGTAAGTACATTACGCGACTCTTGTTCGGGATGAGAGAGACATCATTGATCATGTATTAAAGGTAGTCAGTAGATTTCCAAGACTATTACTTACACTAAAACGTTACTTCAGATTACAAACTGATAAATAAGATCTTTTTGCCTGGTATCTCCCATATATAATTCAAACGGCACATAAATAAAATTCTGCTGTTTTATTCCTAAGAAATGTCTTTGAATTTAGATACTTATTTCAGGCTATAAAATTGATTAACACGGAAAATGCCTTACCGCATGGCTCTGCTAAGTTTTTCGTATGTCATTCTGGGGTTTTGCTTCCGATCCCCCCACATTTTTGCCACTCTGTCAGACTGCACGAATTTGAAGATGCCATCCTCTGGTCGTTCCCAGCGAATAAGGCTAGGATTCGTGGCTGGATCGAGTAGAAGATCACGGATGAACTCCCATAGCTTGCCATTGCCTTTACCTGCAAGAATTTTAAATAAAATATTATAAATATTTAATATACATAGTTCTATGCAGTGCAAATGTTACAGCTAAAACAAACAAAGCTTCTCCTACTTTCCCATAAGGAGTACTTTTATAAACGGATGTTCGTCAGTAGAATGTTAAGTCCCAGATTCCATTCTTGATCCAAAATTAGTGCCCAATTAAAGTAGCACCTTTAAGGTACTTTACAACACTGTATATAATCAGGACAAAACCTTCATCAAAATGATTCGCGGCCATTAAGGTACATTTCTTGTATGAGCTTGAAATAGAAAATAAAAGCAAACATCATATGATAGTTATGGTGTTTAATGAACAAGTCTATCACCTTCTCCAACCAAAGATCGAATCCCGGATAAGATTTGGAGGCGCGATTGTTGTGCACATCTGTCTGTTCACAGCTGATCTGTCTCGAAGCTGTTCGATTAAATTTTGAGAAAGGTTTGGATACTTCTGATTGCCATGTCTATGCTAAGTAGATCCGTTTATCCGTACTAAGAGGTTTTCTCGTAGGATTGGCTAGATGACAGAACAAGAAAAATGACCTTCTGAAACAATCTCCCGAATATTCTGGAATAAATTAAGGACAGCGCTGGGCTGTCAAAGCTGCTACTTTAGCTTTTAACGACAAAACCATTTTGTCACCATAGGTCTGTGACACCTGCATCCCATTCGCGACTTTTTATGGCCATATAAAAATACAAGGCAACTACAGAGAAGCTCTTTAGTATGGAAGACTGACAAGTAAGTGCGACGCGTGAGAGAGTTATTTGCTTAACAGGAGTGATAATTTCAAGAAATGAAGTATTTTATATTAACGATAAGCCACGATATTTATTCATTTAAGGAAAGGATTGCCTTCGTTGAGCATTTTGTAAGGGACTCGTATCCATGTTACTCTCAGAAACAATATATCACAATCACTAAAATCTCACGCAGCCAGCCACTTCATCGGGACTAGAAACCGAATTAAATGATTCAGTGATTTTACTGCTCAGCCGCCTGTCGGCGATAATTTAAAAAAGGACCCTTTTTTGTATAAAAATTGGCTTATAAGGAGAAAAATCAACAAAGGCCAAAAATTAGAAGTCAGTGGTTTTCCAGTGAAACATGCTCCTTTGCAAACCAAGAAGTCACAGATTCGACTGAAGTAAATTCTTTAATAAAAAAAACAACTTGTGAATTTAAAAAATACCTGTCTTTTAAACGAATTTCAGAAATGTTTACCATTCGAGGCAGAAAAACACAAAGCAAAATATGAAACGCTTTAAAAATATTTACTCAGGAATATTACTTTATACTATATATTATTTGCTTACGTATAGTTGATTCATTTATTATAAATCACAGAAAATTATTCTAAAAGCGGGAATATTTCAGCTAATCTAACGCCATATTTGTTTTCATGAATAGTAATCACTATGTTAGGTATATAATCACAGAATATTTGTAATCTGAACTATTCTTTAATTGGAAAAAACACGAATTTAAAGTTAATAGTGTTTTGAAGAAGTTTTCTTCCAAACTTCAAATATTTTCCTGAAACATCGAACTCCGATGAATTACAAACCACACTATAATGACTGAAACGGTAAAGTTTACAATAAAACTTTTCATGCATAACTTGGCGTAATCAAAGTCCTTACACGATTAGAAAAATAAGCAATCACGAAAGTTATTGTGTAATTTAAAATCAATCAACCCACATAGCAGAGGTATCCTCGCGTCGAATTCTCGAACAGCTTATTCTGCCAGTAACATTCAGTTTCTAGAAATAATCTTACGAACATTTAAGTCGGCCCACATTATATTATACTAAAAAATTTCATTGAAAACATTACATCTTTTTTACAAAGGAAAACCGCGAATCCTTTTTGATACACGCTATTTTAACTAATTTCCACAGATTTATGTTTAACTAAAGGTTTAGAACGCCTGTCATTTGGAGAAAAACTTAATTCTTACGCAAATTTATTTAAAATATGCGTAATTTCCGACACAAAATTGGCTCACGAGCAGCCGAGAGGTAAAGCCGCTTAACATCGATAGCTCGGTCCGGGGTTCGAATCCCGCGAACAGGCTGGTTGCAGGGACTCTTCCGTGGTTTTTCCATGTGTAAAGTGTGTACGAGCTAATTTCCATTAGGAAGTCCTCCACGAAAATAAGCCCTCTAGTGTTTTGCCATCATCAAATAAATGAAAACAAACCCATATAAAATTGCCAATGTTTTACACAAGGAAGAAATACTCTCGGACCTTGAAGAACAATAAATAAGTTGAGAATTCAAAATAAAGTTATTGATTAAATTACAAACTTACAAAAATGACAGTAAAGTTAAAAATTTTAGTACAAGCGCTAACTTTTATTAAATTCACTAAAAATGTGCCAGCTGTGCTTCTCAAACACGGCCTTTTTTACGTTTTGGTTGAAAATCTGAAAGATTGAAAATTTCTTTTTCTGCCGAAATAAACATCAGATCTGCCACTGACACACATTATAAAACTACAAAAGTGCGAAGTTAACTTTATGTTATACTCAACGCTCAAAAGTCGGAAAGCAATAGCTAGATAAGTAAGTTCGTTGAGATGTCTTCAATGTATCATTTAAAATTTGCTCTTTCAAGTGATTAACTACTAACTTCTGGTATTTTTTTCAATGTTGTAATTCTCATACATACATAGCATTTACATAAATCCTAATAATTATTTTTTTCTCTGTAAAGTTAGAAGTATTTCTTTTTGTAATGAATAATTCTTTTAAAATATTTCTCGGAAAGCTTACGTTGCGAAGTTTTTTTTTTTTAAATTTAAACAAACTATTTATATTTTATTTTATTTTGTTCTTTCGTTTCTCATTATACTGGAACTCACACTTGAAGTATGAAAATTAACTTCATTAACAAAAGAAGACGCAGAGCCATTAATTTGATGATCATAATATTAGTTCCAAGCTTTTCCTGAGGCGGACTTTTCGAATGCCATCATTCCAGTGCACACAAGCTAATTGTGGGAAATTAATTTTTCAATGTGAATAAAAAAAAAGAAAGAAAGAAATGTGAAAGCTTTCAGATTTTACATTACGCCCAAAGGGGCGTTTTTTTAACGTTTTGTGCGTTACCTTTATTTGTTAAATATCATGTTCTTCGAACTTAAACCATAAAATTCAATTCAATATAAATATCGCAAAGCAATTTTACAATGAGCCTATCTTTAGAATTTCCCATACACAGTCTCGCGCACTGTAGCTAAAAATGCCCCCCCCCGTACAGTGTTGCCATTACTTCGTTGAGTTTCTCAATCACAAATTCGTTAAAGTGTTACAAAATATGAAATCGATAATAAAACAAATTCTAAATTAGGGCTTCTAGATGCCCACATCCGGTGGAGGATACCGTTATTCAAAATTTGATGGCTAGATTCTTCATTAATTAATTTCTTTAAACATAATACAGAGCGATAATATTTGATGGCAACAATTTGAAAAGTGATTCGCCGTTTATAGTTAATTGCCGCAATATGCCAAAACGTAAGCCCTTTGGGCTAAAAAAATAACTTTTTGGTAAGAGTTTCTTAAAGTTTGTTTTTACCTCTTCAGTAGAATTATATATATCGCTAAAATATGCAGAGCAACTAATAATTATTTTATCAAACTGGTAGGAGTCCTTCCAAAATTTAAGAGTTGTGTAACTACAGATATTCGTTACAAATAATTTTTTTTAGTTGCAGTTACCAATAAGTGAAATTTTTGTCTCAAAGTTTAAAGTTTTCAGCCTTGTCATAGCAGAAACTTGCACGCGCAGAAACATGACCAAGATAAATGTAACATGACTAAAGAGAGAAAAAATTAAGAGACACAGCTGATTCAACTAAACTGAACTCGACTAAAGAACAATCCACGAAAGGGAATTTTTATCGTCATTCTACGATGCCAGGGCATGGGATCTGTTAGAAACACATGAACAGTGTAGCTAGTCAGTTATAAACAAATGCCAAATTAACAGAGAACCCAACACAAGTCCCATCGATACGAGGTTTTATCAACAAATAAATATGAAATTTACTTCAACACTGTAATAGAATCCTTCACACCAATTAATAGATTTTTACGAATTTTTTGAAAGTTTAATTAGCGTGTGAAAGAGCATAATAATTCCAAAGAGTTTTTTCTCTTTTTATCTCTGTATATAATTTACTAATACTAAAAGATATAGAAAATTACTCCATGCCTTAAAAATAGTAGCTTCCAGACTGGATTTCTATACTGCACAGCATTTCTCAGTAATAACACTGCTCGATATACCGTGTTTTATGATATCACGCTGATACTGCCTAAAACCAGACAGTGTAGAAATAACGTGCCTAGCTATGAAAGGGGTTACTCATACCTACGAGTAACAGACTCTTCTCATGAATAATATAGTCTCAAAATAACTTGAGTAACTGTCTACAGTCTAATAAATTAAAACAAAATTTGATGTAGACCCCACAAGACTTTCTTGTATGGTATATATATATATGTTTGGTACTACCGATTGCAATAAAAAAGGGAGGTGCACAACTAGATGTCCCAGCAGTTCCATATACAAAATTTCAGCGATAGTCGTTTTTGAACTACGAAAGATGCATACATAGTACATACAAACGTCCATACGTACGTACGTACAGATGTCACGTACAAAATCACTTTCAATCCATTTTACTACACGTTTTGGAAAAAAGGGTTCCGTATCCTGCGTTGTACGTGCAAACGTCGCATATGAATTCAGGAACGGTTAAAATGGATATTACCGCTGAAATATGCTGCTCGGAATGTTTCGCGATTACAATTACTTCTTTAAATTCGTAGAAGGAAGTACAAAATCACTCGGTTTAGGATAATTTAAAAATGAAATGCATTACTTGGTGGTGTTATAATTAGTATGAATAAAAATTTACATTACCTCTTAAATTAAGATTCAATTCTTTACACTTCGGGATT